ATTCTGGATACTTTCATTGAAGAAAATTTAGGGACATAGGTTGGTGCAGTGGAGGTGATGTGAGATGGGGTTATAATTTTTTTCATGGTATATTCTTACAGTGGATTTTGATTTTTTTTAAAAATAATTAATATTTATTATATAAAAAAATAAAATTAATTTATAAATAAATAATTTTAAATATCATAATTAATTATTTAAAAAATTATGAACTAATAAAATTACAATTAAATCGATGGTAATAACAATTGGATGGTGACAATAATCTAACCTTGATATTTTGTTGAAGGAAATATTTGTTGCCTTAAAAATGAAAAATATAAAAAATAATAATTAATTGAGACAAACTTCTGAGTAAAAAATTAGGGTTATTTTAAAATAAAAATATTATTTTATCATACCATATTTTAATTTGTATAATTGAATATTTTAGTTTGGAGTTTGGACAATTGATTATATTTTAATTTATATGATAAATATATTATGAAAAAAAATATAATTTATTATATCTTAACTAAAAACTATTGATAAAAGGTGATTTTCTGCCGTCAATAATTATAGAATATATAGTTTACACAATTGGAGCAAATTGTAAATAAAATAGCTTTTGTCCTGTGAACATGCCTTAGATCTTTTGGGAAGAAAATCCAAGGCCATTCATTTCCATTTTTACTCTTCTTGCTGTCATTTAGGTCTCCCCACTTACCAATAATTATGAGTATTTTGATTTAGTCTTTAGAAAATTAAAAATTATGATATTTTGATATTAAAGATGTTAGAACATTTAATTTTAGTTATAATTTAAGTAGAGTTTACATTATCTCTTATTTATCATATAATTTTAATTGAATGTCCTAATATTTTTAATATTATAATGTTTTGAATTTTTTCATCCTATTTATGCATTTAATGTTTTATTTCTATCTTTTATCTTTAAAATAAACATCAATGTTATTATTTAAAAATTACCCCATCAATATTATAGGTATAATGTTTTTAAATATAATAATGTGACTTGAGTATATGCATATCAATTTATGCATAAAAGGTAACCCCAAATAAAAAAATTAATAAAAATATATCAAGTCATATTGTTGATCCATTATACTTAAAAGGTTAAATCCTTAATTTGATCCCTCAACTATTATACGGGCCATTGATTTGATTTTTAAACTAAGAAAATCTCTAATTTAATTCCCTATTATTTATCAATTTGACTTAAAGTTGATCCTTTCGTATAAAAATAGATGACATGTTTTATTATTAATGTAACATATGGCAGTTAAATAATAGTTTTTTGTTACTAAGTAACCAACACGCCAGTTTATAATGGACACGTCAGTTTTTCTTAAAGAAATGATCAATTTGGGGTCAAATTGGTAAATAATAGGACCAAATCAAAGGTCTGTGCAATTATTAAGGGACTAAATTGAAGATTTTTTTAATTTATGGACTAAATCAAGAGTCCATATAATAATTAAGAACTAAATTAAGAGTTTAACCTACTTAAAAAGCGTTGTACATGAAATATTTTTTATTACTCTAACCAATTAATTTATGTATAAGAGAGACAAGTTTTTATATTTTATTTTTTATTAAACCTTTTGGTATTTTAAAGTTATTTTGTGGTACTAAAACTTTTGATATTTAAAAGTTATATTGAGTTTTGATTAGTCTAAAATCGAATTGATTTGAACCTTATAAAAAGGAAATTCTCCTACTGTCTATCTTTTTATTTAAAAAATACTAAACTCCTTCCACTTGAACTAATAAGTAATTAGTAGATTAAATACTAATTGTTGTATTTTTTATATTCTCTCTATTTTAGAATGATAAATATTTTTTATTTAAAATTTATTCTAAAATGATTGTAATTTTTTCATATTTAAAAAAAAAAACCAAATAATTTTTTATTTTAACTATATAATTAGGCCTTAACT